CCCAGCTTGTGCCATTTGCTCATCCAACTCCCACACAGCTAACCTGTGCCCTAACTCTCCAGAGGTGAATGCCGTTTTTTCTCCTACTAATGTGATGCCCACTTGGAGAACAGGCAGGGTGCTGAAAGATAAACTAGGCCGTGATATAGTGTTTTGGGGAAAATCGCAAGTCTGTAATAATTTTAACACTGGCACTTGCGGATACAGTGCCTGCAGACTACTGCATGTCTGCTCCCAATGTTTCAGGGCTCACTCCAAAGTAATGTGCCCTAATAAATTATATCCTAAGCAGTACTTATCGTCTCTTAATGTCTCCCTACTGGAAGAGCTTTTGTGTGGTCACCCATCTCGACATCTCGTTGAGTTTTTGGTGGCAGGATTTACTTTGGGGTTTCACACGGGTATTATTCACATGCCTACGGGAATCTTGGAATGTAAAAACTTACAGACAGCCCAAGCAGCTCCCGACACTATTGACCTACTTCTCCAGAAGGAAGTTGACCAAGGTTTCTGTTACGGTTGCCTCCAGGCTGGCTGGAAGTTGGACCGTAGAAATGATGCTCCTAGCGCTCACCAAAGGACCATCAGCACCGTAGATACCATAAGTACTGCAGACTCAATGAACCACCGCTGCTGGGCTAGGATCTCGCCGTCTGCTATCCACCCTGGACCTACGACTAGGTTCCAGGTTCCAGTAGGTGAATCCCTTCCTTCTGTAGAGCGAAGCAGGATCAGGAACAAGAGCTCTTACAAGAGCTCAGTAGCTAAGGGAGTATGAAGAGCATAGCAATCCCTGTAGTGATTATAGCTGTCACCTAGAAACATGAGTCAAGGCTGCAAGTAAGAGGGTCAAGTCATTCTGTTTATTGGCACACAAAGAACCTTCTTTTATGCAGGTTTACCTGAGATAGGACCACCCACAGGGTTTTACACAACAACCAATAATAACAGTACATTCCAGAAACACTCCCAGCAATTACATACAAAATCCTCCCCTCTGCCTGTGATCTAATTATGTTGCACAATGGGTTAACATAATTAAACACAGGCAGTAAAAATACAGTTTTTATCCATACACTGTAACTTTAAAACTGCACATAAAATCTTCATAACAATTACATATTATTAATCAGCACACTTAAAACATAAACATAACCAAAAATCAGCCAAATCCATCCAGGGGTTAAAAAGTTAGCTGGAGGTCCCTTAATGACCGACCGCAAGCACATTTTCCTGCCCAAAACAGTTCCATAGATTTGGGCTGTGCGGCCGGTCTATTTCAGGCTGAAAAAACGACTAAGTCCCATCGCCGATTGGGACTTAGTCTCTGCAGCTGTAAAAACAGTAGGGGAGATGGTAGAGCTCAGCGGTGTTCGTGGAAATGTGTAGCCGATTTTAGTTCCATGAATTTGGCTACACATACCGCTGAACTCGTCGAATGATCAAAGATGGCCGCCGTCACGTGTTCGGCAAACGAACAAAAGCCACCCAGCATTGTCAATTAAGCTGCGGTTAACCACAACTTCTGGGAGGTAAATTGCCTGCACACTTCCACTTCTGGGTGGTTTGCCTGTGTGGTACTTGGTTCAGTAAGCCCCATTTACTGAAGCAAGGGGGAAATAGCCAGGCACAAAGGGTTTTAACCAGGTCTGGGGACACAGGGGACACCGTCTTAAAGGGACAGTGTCCCAAACAAGTCTGGGGACACGGTCTTAAAGGGGCAGTGTCCCAATCTTCCTGATGCCCCAAAAAGGTGCTTATAGGTCCAGCACCAGTTCCATAAAAAGTCCATAAGCCCCAATATGCCCACCGACAGTCTTAAAGGGCCATACACACCAAATAAAAGTGCATACATTTTCACAGTCTCCCAGGGGCCATAGTCATGTGGAAGGAGGCTGGCAAATAGGCTTCTCCACAACCCAGGGAAGCAGGGCAATTTGCCATTTAAAGGGCCAGTTACAAATAGCAGTTTGTAACAGTTTCTTAATAGGCCCTTTCGACTCCCCGCCTTTCGCGGTTTGGAGAACTAACACTATAGGACTGGTCACTAATAAATCTTCCAATAAACAAAGGTTAATTCTCGACCTATCTGCTCCCCATGCATCACCTACCCCAAGTCTCAATTCACTAATTCCATCAGAAGAATTTTCCCTCCAATATGCTACCATAGATAATGCCGTCACTGCCATCCTCTCGGCCGGGGTAGGGAAATGGCTGAGTAAAACGGATATTGTAAACGCTTTTAAGTTACTCCCTATCCACCCTTCCCTGTGGCATTTACATGGTGTTAAGTGGCAAGGTTCATATTATTTTTTTACGCGCCTCACGTTTGGTTCTAAGAGCAGCCCCAGGATTTTTGATATATTTGCTGAGACGTTGTGCTGGATGCTGCTTAACATCTGTAAATGCCCCGCCGTGATCCATTACCTGGACGATTTCCTGACCATAGAAAGGAACCTGGTACCTCCTAGTAGCCTCCTGTCCATAACACGACTGTCCACACAACTAGGAGTACCTGTTTCACCAACAAAGACTGAAGGTCCAGATACGATCATTGTAGAATATTGCATATTCTAGGTTTCTATTGATTATATATAATGGATGTGTGGATTGACATAAGTAACAGATGGTATCAATAAGTCACAAGGCTTTCTTTGTCCGAGAGCTCTGGAATGTGGATGTGGGGGTTTTGTCCTTATATGGCTAGAGTTATATGCTGACGTTAGTATTAGCACTTCTTTATAGTAAGAGAGGGACACGAGGTGGCTCTCAGTCTTGTCTTGGCTTGGCTCTTGGCTCTGTACAACGATGTAACTCTCCCATCAGAAGTCCAGCAATTACCATCTGCTGTTGAATGTCCATTATCCTGTAACATCATTTGTTGTTTTATGTATCCGTAACTAAGAATAAACCTGAAGAAACCGTAAGTCAGATTGCGTATTACTACTTTTCAATAATATAGACATATATTATTGTGGCGAGCATTTGGCCCAAGAATATATATACAAAAGACGTATATATATCAATCAAATGAAGACAAGAAGAAATTAAGAAGATTCAACATTGAACATCCATTCATCTACATTTTTTACATTGGCTAGCCTGCCAGTCTTCTATTCAAGTTTTGTTCCCACTTAAAGGGGGGAGAGAAAAGAATCGAGTTACAAAGCTATTTTGGAACTGGGAAAACAAACTTGAAGAGAAAAAAAGAATCTAGACTGACTGTCATAGATGAACTGTATTTGTAAGAAAAAGAAATTTTTCAAATCATAAAGACTGTACAAGACTATTTTCTACAACTGAGACAAAAAGCACAAGATACAACGTGAATTCTAGAAGCAAGCACGTGGCAGAGATTGGCACGCGTCCAGAATCAAGCGTCCAGAACTGCGCAGCTGTGTGGATGAAGCAACGAAATAGACAGAAATAACTGATCTGGTAAAGCGTGACAGATCCTTGTGGCAATTAATCAGGAAAGCATTCCTTCAGACAACTGGACATCGACTGTAGGAAAGAGACTTTTCATCTGATCTGCAAACAGTGATGGAAGATTCTACAGAGTTCATTCGATTCAGAAGATTAACAGACTAAAAAAGAAATAAAAGATTGACACTAACATACATATATATTCCTAAATATTAATGAAGAAGAAAACAGACAATGAAAAGTTATTTAACGGTTATGAGTATTAATACCAAAAGAGAGTACTTATAGCTATATAACACATGGAGTAAAATTACGAAAGTATAGTATTATGAAAATAACTATTACATTATTACCTATACATAGAATGAGAAGTATCAGAGGTAGATAAAATATGAAGTTCATACAATAAGGATCATGGTTATTTAATACTGCAAAGATTGCGTTCAATAGGATTTCATAGATTAAATATAATGGAATAATATGTTTATAATCGAGGTGAAGTAAAACAAACAATGGTAACATAAGGAAGAAAACTAAGGAAGAATAATTTATATTGATTTATATTAAGTAATTATATACATTAAGAAAGCCTTGGATATAAGAGTTCAAAGATCCAAGAGGAATTGAATTGAATTGAAAGAGTATAGTACACAATTATATTTGACCTAAGTCTATAAAAGGTATGGGCTAGGGAGAATAGGTTTCTGGATATGGTGATATCCAATGAATACGTTGTTAAGTTGTTTTATGATTTCCCTGAGTTTGTTAGACACAGACTAGGAATAAGAGTTTCTGGGCAGTATGACACCAAGTTTATTTTATTTTATTTTAGTCAGTTGAAGTGTACTAAGGAATACGGATTGGTCAGAACATTAGGACAATCCTGCTTTTAAGATGTATTACATTAATAAGTCATCACAATGCTAATGAAGAGAGTGATGCTAATGAATTTCAATTATTCTTTCCAAGTTATTTTAGAGTAAACTATGTTTCTGTTGAATGAAATGTTTGTTACTGCAAGGTGGAATTTTAGTCAAAATTATAATTATGTGAACAAAAACAAATCTATGATAGAAAGATTTCTGGGTGAAGAATTTCTAGGACAATAAGTATTGTCAACACCATGAACATTATTTAAAGAATTATTATAGAACTTCATGGTTGATAACACATCCTTTGAGACTTATAAGTAGTGTTGGTATATTTTAGGTAGTGAGAGCCTACTGAATATACAAATTAAATACTATGATTGTAAAGTACTGATACAATCACCACTAGGTGGTATTAATGGTATAGGAAGGTAATTCATGAATACAAATGACCTAAAGATTTTAAGGTTGCTAGAAACCATATAAATACATGGAAATATAATTGGACAGGATATTATAGTAATACATGTATTAGTACTTAAGTAATATCAGGTATTGAGAATGAAAATACTATGCTATATGTGTCTGTAGGAATATGATAGTGATACACAGTTATTATTTAGAAAGTTACGATCTTGGATTCTGTTATCTACAAAGATACGACTGTACCAGAGCAGGTTGATCTTTCTGATTGCTTTATTGTTTATTGGATCAACATTTGTAAATATTTAATTTTATTCATTTATTATTGTTATATATATGTAAATATTATGTTCAAGTAGTTATGATGTAACATGGATATGGATATCAATACATAGCTGAAACAGAGGGATTTTGAAGTAAAGTAAGCAGTATGAGGGATAGAAACTCGACCTTCCAATAACTCTCATATAATAGAAAGTTGTGACTACATCTTGTTCTATGCTCAATGAATGTGATACAAGTGATGTATGAATGGACAGGTTAGTGACATTGTGTTATGGTTTTAAAACAAACCATAAACAGAGGGAATGTAGAATATTGCATATTCTAGGTTTCTATTGATTATATATAATGGATGTGTGGATTGACATAAGTAACAGATGGTATCAATAAGTCACAAGGCTTTCTTTGTCCGAGAGCTCTGGAATGTGGATGTGGGGGTTTTGTCCTTATATGGCTAGAGTTATATGCTGACGTTAGTATTAGCACTTCTTTATAGTAAAGAGGGACACGAGGTCTCTCAGTCTTGTCTTGGCTTGGCTCTTGGCTCTGTACAACGATGTAACTCTCCCATCAGAAGTCCAGCAATTACCATCTGCTGTTGAATGTCCATTATCCTGTAACATCATTTGTTGTTTTATGTATCCGTAACTAAGAATAAACCTGAAGAAACCGTAAGTCAGATTGCGTATTACTACTTTTCAATAATATAGACATATATTATTGTGGCGAGCATTTGGCCCAAGAATATATATACAAAAGACGTATATATATCAATCAACTGAAGACAAGAAGAAATTAAGAAGATTCAACATTGAACATCCATTCATCTACATTTTTTACAATCATCAACTTCTTGGGGGTGGTGCTGGACTCTGTACATATGCAGGCTATCCTCCCCGGGGAGAAGATTGAACGCATCCTGGCAGCCATCGACCTTTACCTAGCAGGTGGCTCATGTAATAGGAAGGAGTTACAATCCCTGTTGGGTTCACTAAATTTCGCTATGAAAATTATTCCACAGGGGAGAGCGTTCATATCCCGTTTGCTTAGCCTATTTCCCCTATTGCAATCTGATGCCTCCTGCATTACGTTAGACGTACATGCCACAGCTGACCTACATATGTGGAGGGAATTTTTGCTAAATTGGAATGGGAGAAGCATTTTTATCCCAGTATGGTCAGATAAGTCGGTGTCAGTCTAGACGGATGCCGCTGCCACTTCAGGATTTGCCGCTATTTGTGGCAATGAATGGATGTGGGGTAAATGGCCGGGGGAAATTACTGAGATCCCCAAGTTCAAGGACACATCAGCCTTATTTGAGCTCTATCCCATTGTGGCAGCAGCAGTTAAGTGGGGAGCTTGCTGGTCTGGGAATACGGTGCGTTGCTTCTCGGACAACATGGCAACATGCCATGTTGTAAACAAGGGACGTTACTCTTCCCTGGCCATCATGCGGTTTATGAGGACTCTAGCTGCAAAACACAGTTTTCTTTTAACTTGCATTCATGTGCCTGGGGTTCTCAATATCGCTGCTGATCACTTATCACGGTCTCGGTTTCAGGAGTTCCGGGCAGCACTACCAACAGCTATCCTGACACCAACTCCAGTACCGCAGTGGCAGGAAATGGTTTGGGACTAAAAGAATTGCTCTATCACGGGCAACAACTCTCGCAACTCGGTCTTTCCGATAACACCAGGAAGGCATATGGCAGAGCGTTTCATATTTTCAATAGATTCTTGCTGGACTTTAATATCACTGACCAATTTTCCATGGAGACAATCATTGCATTCATTTATTTTTGCCACCTTCATCTAACACTATCATTCAATACCATTAAGTTGTATATCACAGGTATTAAACATCATGTCCTCACCACTTGGCCTAATAGACAACCCTTTCTGTAATCCTACCAAGTTGAAGCCATACTTAAAGGTATTAAAGACTCCAACCCTATACCCTCACCATCCAGACTACCCATCCACGATCTATTGTTTCAGTCACTGTCAAATCTGCTAGACACCTCACCATTTGAAGCTCATACTAATCATATAATTAAAACAGCCATCTATTTGGCCTTTTACGGTTTTCTTCGGCCCAAAGAGTTCACCACTACTAACTATAACTCCCCCAAATTCATCACAAGGTCAAACCTGGTGAAGGTACAAGATCACTATCTGCTATTACCCCACTAATAATAAATGGTGTCCGGTGGAAGTTTTCGACAAATATCTTTCCTTCTGTACAATAGCTCCAACACAACCACACCTGACCTTACACAGTAATAAGCTCACTACGAGTAAATTCATGGTGTATGTTAGAATGTTGTTGGTCCGTTTAGGATTGAACCCAGCAAGCTACTCTGGTCACTCATTGAGAATAGGAGCCGCCACTACAGCTTCTAAAAAGAATATCCCGGCTCACATCATTAAAATTTTAGGCCGATGGAAATCCACGGCTTACACCAGATACATCCCTCAGCCAATACAAGAGGTGCGCCTAGCATTCAAGACTATGAATATGTGATATGCTATGATGTATTTGTAGGATGACTAAACTGGTTTATATCTTTTTTGCCCGCTTTTATTTCAGGCCTACTAACTTGTCAGTTCCGGCACACCACAACTGACATTTCCATTCCCTGTTTGTCTTATGTTACTAATGCTACGGCTTTATGCCGTGACCACAAATGGAAGGCGTGGATGGAAGTTGTGGGAGGGGCTTGGTTCCCCTTCTTAAGGAGCACCAGCCCTTCCCTCATTACCTGTTAGGTCTGGCGAGTTGTCCCACCCACCACACCTCCTTTTTATAAGCATTTCATAAGGTAGGCCCTCTTTTATTTCAGGCCTACTACCTCGTCAGTTCCAGCACACCACAACTGACATTTCCATTCCCTGTTTGTCTTATGTTACTAATGCTACGGCTTTATGCCCTGACCACAAATATATATATATATACAAAACAAAGTAGAAATGGTGTGGTGTGATAAAGATAAAAGTGCAAATAGAAATCTAGGTATAATGCAATATCAATACCTATCAATTTTCCATCTGGTATTCCAGAATAACTATGTACATGTCAGGTGCGTAGGATCAAATTTTCCATATCTTTTAATCACTTAAAATCATAAAAAAACACAACATAATATAAAACAAACACCACCAATAAAATGGGAAAGAATATTGCACTCACAAACATAGTACCACTATAAGTGGTCAGTTGAGAATATAACAGGGAAAACAAAGCCCTGTAATAGATCACAGAGTGGGGGAATAGAAACAGAATCCAGAAGTAGATGGCACCAAACTGGAGAAAATAGGAGTATGTAGTCTCTCAGTGCCGACCGGTATGTAGTCTCTCAATGGACTTCCTCAAGGCAGAGCTCAATACCCAATAATCAAAAGTTCTGCTTTTAAAGCCCACCAATAAAAGCTAATCAATCTCAGCGTGCATCACACGTGTTTCCTGTCCATACGATATTCACCCCAACAAAAAAGATGGCCCCTGGGATATTGATGAAGGCATTAAACCAATCGCCTCTACTAACGTCTTTAATCAAATCACAACGTGTAGAAGAATACTCCTCTCCCCGTTGGTCATCTAGTGGGGTAGCAGATCAAAAAATCCTATTCAGACCCCTATAAAAGGGGAACCATAACGGAAACCAGAAAAATGGCCTCTTAGATTCACGTCGGCGTCAGATCTACTGGGCATGTGCATGGACTTAGCCAAAGTCCACAACGTGATCCCCATGTCAGCAGTCCTTATAATGCCTAAATCATACATATACAAACATTACCAAATTATAAATTTAAAACATACCAAGTGTATATAACCTAAAAATTGTATAATGATAAAGACCTGGTTTCAGGTCGAAACGTTGCAATAAACTGCCTGGAAGAAATCACAGTGAGTGCCTGAGATTGTTTTCATTTATAAAGATCCAGTTTAGTAGCCCTTTTCCGAACTCTCTCTAAAGTATCAATATCCATCTGGAGATACGGTCTCCAGTACTGAGCACAATACTCCAAGTGAGGTCTCACCAGAGTTCTGTACAATGGCATGAGCACTTCCCTCTTTCTACTGCTAATACCTCTCCCTATACAACCAAGCATTCTGCTAGCATTTCCTGCTGCTCTATTACATTGTCTGCCTTCCTATAAGTCATCTGAAATAATTATCCCTAAATCCCTTTCCTCAGATGTTGAGGTTAGTAGGGTATCAAATATTCTGTACTCTGCCCTTGGTTTTTTACGGCCAAGATGCATTATCCTGCACATAACCACATTTAATGTCAGCTGCCACAACTCTGACCATTTTTCTATTTTACCTAAATCATTTGCCATTTCGCTTATCTCTCCTAGAACATCAACTCTGTTACATATCTTAGTATCATCAGCAAAAAGACATATCTTACCATCAAGACCTTCTGCAATATCACTAATAAAAATATTAAAGAGAATGGGTCCAAGTACAGATCCATGAGGTACCCCACGGGTGTCAAGACCATGCTTCGCATATACTCCATTGCCTGTCACTCAGCTACTGCCTTACCCATTCAACAATATTGGAATCCAAACTTAAAGATTGCAGTTTATTGATAAGCCTTCTATGTGCAAAAGTGTCAAAAGCCTTACTGAAATCTAGGTAAGCAATGTCTACGGCACCATCCCGATCTATTATTTTAGTTACCCAATCAAAACAATCTGTAAGATTAGTTTGGCATGATCTCCCTGAAGTAAATCCATGTTGTCTCTAATCTTGAAATCCATGTGATTTTTAAATGTTCAACAATCCTATCCTTTAACATGGTTTCCATTACTTTTCCATTGGCATATAGTTGCCAGACTCTTCCCTACTAACTTTCTTGTGAATGGGTACAACATTTGCTAACTTCCAATCTTCTGGGACTATTCCTGTTAACAATGATTGGTGTGACAAACTCCCCTTTTCAAGTGAGTTTGCCACGAGTTCCTGGAGCTCCCAGGACTGAGTGTCGTCCAGTGCCTGGGGATGTCTAGAGCGAGTTCCCTATTCGACTCCAAGAGATAGCGGTTCCAGAGCCCCAGTCAAGCCACGGCGACTGTGGGCAGAAGTGCTGAGGTTTGTCCCCTGTTCCAGCTAGGAAGCAGTTCTTGGTGGAGGTACCCAGCCAGGGATACAGGGAGCTCCACTTCAGTTGGTTAAAAACATCTGTTTATGGTTTTGCTAGTACACCACTAAGCTCTTTTAATACCTTTGGGAGTATTCCATAATTTGGGTGTGTACTCAAGTGGATCTTATGGCCACACTGAAAAACAGGAA